AACTTTGGGGTCCAAATCATTTAATACCAAACTTGGACCGTTTGACTTTACATAGGAAAATTATAGGAAAATTAGATGTCAGCATGTGTGATGCGGTGTAGTGTAAAGTGGGTTTTGATCAATAAGCAAACAAACAGAAAAGCCAAATTAACTCCATCATCCCTGAGTTCATTCGATGGCTTACCAAGAACCCTCCAATGGCGAAGCCGCGATGAGAGGCAGTTCGACGGGGAAGGAAGGAACGGGATGTCGTCAAGGATGACTTCTTTGGTGGATAAACGAAGAACACCCTCTCGTATGTGCTTCTCTATAAATAAAAAAAAATTTAAAAAGGTGATTTTAAAGTAATTTTATGAAAAAATACCTCTCGTGTGCTTCTTCTAAAAGTAGTTATACATCTCAAAATCATTTTCAAACATACCCTTAATTTTTTTTTTTTAAACAAGCAAATATTTTTCACTAATTTCACGTTAAAAACGAGGAGCGTTTGAACCTGAAACGTAATGGCTTGGAAAAGAAGATCCTAAAAATCAGCACAGTCCTAACCCTTGATGCACGACCCTTGTTTATTTTGAATATTGACATGTTTTGAGATTTAAAAAAAAAAAATAGAAATAACACATTTTTTTTCTTCCCAAATAGTGATTATACTGACTATGCAAGTGGGAATTGGATCCCTTCCTGAGCAAATGATGGGGATCCTCATGATCACACAACACGAACGGTTGGATTTTGATCCAACGACTACAAATAAGAGGGTCCCTCTAAAAGTTATAAGAATTGTAGCCGTTGAATCAAAATCCAACAGCCCGTGTTGTGTAGTCATGAGGATCCCCACCATTTGCTCAGGAGGGGATCCAATTCCATGCAAGTGGTGAGAGAGTAACACTCCAATTCAACCTGATAAATTGTCGATGGGTTTGTTTGAAACAATTGGTCCATTTGGTTGGAAGAAAGAATTCCCTTTGAATACGATCCGGACCCAAATTATGAGGATCCTCACATTTTAACCATTCATTTTGCATCATGTAATAAAAAATTATTTAACTTTTTTTATTTAAAATTAAGGGTAAAAGACTGTTTACCACCCTCATGTTTCGTGGTTTTCAACATTTAGTACATCAAGTTTTTTTCGTCCCAGAGTCATACCTAAAGTGTAAATTTTGGGACAGTCTCATACATCTGTTAGTCAAACTGTTAGTTCTCCCGTTAAGTGATGACGTGACGCCCTGATTGGACGCCACGTGTCATTAAAAAAAATAAAAAATTTATTTAAATAAAAATAATATTAAATAATATTTAAATAATAAAATAATAATAAAAATTTTTTTTTTTCCTTCTTCTCTTCTTCTTTCTTTTTTTTTTTTTTTTTTCTTCTTCTTCTTCTTCTTCTTCTGGGTTCGGTTCTCTCTTTTTTTTTTTTTTTTTTTTTTTTTTTTCTTCTTCCTCCTCCTTCTCCTTCTTCTTCCTTCTCCTTCCTCCTCCTTCTTCTTCTTCCTTCTCCTTCCTCCTCATTCTTCTTCTCCTTCTTCTTCCTTCTTAAGAAGGAAGGAGGAGAAGGAAAAAAACAGAAAAAAAAAAACCGAACCCAGAAAAGAAGAGGAAGAAGAAGGAAGAAGAAGGAGAAGAAGAATGAGGAGGAAGGAGAAGGAAGAAGAAGGAGGAGGAAGAAGGAAAAAAAAAAAAAAAAAAAAAAAAGAAAGAGAAACCGAACCCAGAAGAAGAAGAAGGAGAAGAAGAAGGAGGAGGAAAGAGAAGGAAGAAGAAGGAGAAAGAGGAGGAAGAAGAAGAAGAAGAAAAAAAAAAAGAAAAAAAAAAAGAGAAACCGAACCCAGAAGAAGAAGAAGAAGGAGAAGAAGAAGGAGGAGGAAGGAGAAGGAAGAAGAAGAAGGAGGAGGAGGAGGAAGAAGGAAAAAAAAAAAAAAAAAAAAACCGAACCCAGAAGAAGAAGAAGAAGAAAAAAAAAAAAAAAGAAGAAGAAGAAAAAAAAAAAATTATTATTATTTAAATATTTTATTATTTAAATATTATTTAATATTATTTTTATTTAAATAAATTTTTTATTTTTAATGACACGTGGCGTCCAATCAGAGCGCCACGTCATCACTTAACGGGAGAACTAACAGTTTGACTAACAGATGTATGAGACTGTCCCAAAATTTACACTTTAGGTATGACTCTGGGACGAAAAAAACTTGATGTACTAAATGTTGAAAACCACGAAACATGAGGGTGATAAACAGTCTTTTACCCTAAAATTAAATACAAATAGTATCTAATGAAAACTATCCACACGATTTGTTTATGTCAAAAAATGGTAGGACTATTACATGTTAAACATTTTGTTTATAAGATATCACATAAATGACTTTCATTATACAAACTAACATTCTAGGAGGCGAAGATTCTCCCGCAACAAACCCGACCCGTGAATTTGCATCCGGATTCCGGCAGATGGTGAAATCTTTCATGGTCTATACACATAGGAGCAGGGCTTGCAATCTCCTCATAACTGTTATACAGAACTTGCTTTTTATACTTCTTCGCTACTGCTTTGGCTAACGGACTTCAAAATGTTGAACTTGTAGAGTGGGCAGGTGGCATTGATCTGTAACCATTTGTCTATGCAGGTGCAGTGGAAGTGGTGACAGCAAGAAAGTTCACGCAGTTCAGTTCCATCTTCATGGGTAAAAAGGCAGATGCAACATTCCTAAGATTAACACAACTCACGTAATAAGTATGTAAACTAAGAGATTTGGACCCTTCAAATTTTTAGATTTTTGTGAAGCAAGCTAGCGAGACGGGCTAATAAGGATCGTAGTATTGAAATTGAGTGATCTAAATTTTTCGTTCCACGAACTCTAGACACAGAGATCTAGAGTAGATCCCAATTCGTGGTTTTGAAACTTCAACAAAAGCAGGCTACAGCGATGGCAGAACAAACCAATATTGTCAATATCATCACTGTCTGATTGAGATGTGCTGCCTTTCTATTTCTCTGAATTTCGTCATCAAGCTTCAATCTCTACCAAAATTAGAAAACAAGGGATCAAACTTTCTTCATTTTGTTAAAAATTATGCAATCCTTTTACAATACTCCAGATTATCCAACGCATAAATCATCACCTTATCATACAATGCACGTTTTTCACCATCTTAAAAAGCGTGGGTGATTAAAAAGGTTCATGCAATGCAAATTTTACCTGTTGAGGTTGTTGGGAATTTGGCAGGATTCCAATTGAAGCTGGAGATTGGACGTGAAGTTGGAAAATTTGGTAGGAGATGTGATATTTTTGTTTCCTGGTGATTTCAGTATAGTTGGAGAGAAGTGAATATAGCTCCACATGCTTCTACAACCCCTTTTTTGTGGCTTAGCACTCTTTTAGTGCGTTAAACAAGTTTATGGTCAGATTAATTTTTAAGAAAATTTCACTTTATTAAAAATCTCAAATATCGCTATTGTGACTTAACTGGATTTATCTATCTTTTTATCAACAACTGTCGTTCATGAGATTTGAATTCAAGATCCCTTAAAAAGCAAGTGAAGATTGAAAGATGCAAGACCAAATGGTCATTTGCTATTACATACATCTACTACTCTTCATGGACCTCTTCTTAAGACTTGATTTACTCAGACCTAATTATGTTAAAATGGTTTGTTCGAGATCGTATTAAATACATGTAAGTATTGTAACCAATCCCAATTCTTATATGCCAACTTTATACTGAGCTACGAGACCAATTACATTTTTAATTTTTTCTAAACTTTATTTAAGAATTAATTATGTGCTAATCACCATACAGACATTTCTTAATGCCAAATTGCTAAATTTACTTGTGATCTTTAAGTTTATATTTTTATTTACAGTCTAAATTATATTTGCTGTAACATTTAGATATTGGCTACAATGAAAAGCCTATTTTGCTGTAATAATATTTGGTGTTTACCACTAACAACTATCTTAAGATAAAATTAAACTATGAGATTTTGGGATTAATCGTTCATTCTAACTAAATTAGGAAACACAATTATATCAAACAATATTCTGATACAAGGAACATTAAAGGAATCCTAACTAAATTAGGAAACACAATTATATTCCTAATCACAAACATTCTCCTAATTAATAGGGTTGACTCACGCTAACATTCCCCCTCAAGTTGGTTCGTAGATATCTCCTAAGCCCAACTTGTAGAGTGAGTCCCGAAATCTTCCAGCAGGTATCGCATGTGTTAGAATATCCGCCAGCTGTTCTTCTGTTTGCATAAACGGAATGTCAACCAGCCGAACATCAAGCTTCTCCTTTATTTAGCTATCTCTCGAGCTGATTGATTATCACATTACAACAACATAGACCCTTTGGGCTTAAAACCTATCTTAGTAAGAAGTATTTGAAGCCAGAAGTTTACAAATACCATGTGCCATTCCTCTGTATTCAGCTTCAGCTGACGATCTTGCCACCACATTCTGTTTCTTACTTCTCCAAGTCACCAGGTTACCAGCCACGAACGTAAAATAGCCTGATTTAGACCTCCTATCAGTGATGTTCTCAGCCCAATCTGCATTAGTATATCCTTTCACCTCCAAGTGTCCATGCTTTTTGTACATTAGACCCTTTCCCGGAGCTCATTTTAGATAACTCAGGATTCGCATTACTGCTGTCATGTGATCCTCACTCGGTGCATGCATAAACTGACTCATCACACTTACTGCATAAGCAATGTCTGGTCTAGTGAGTGACAAGTAAATCAATCTTCGCACTAACCTTTGATACCTTTCCTTATTTGTTGGAACTTGATCTTGAGATTGCAAGGTGATGATTCTGCACAATTGGAGTATCTGTCGGTTTACATGCTAACATACCAGTTTCGGACAATAAGTCCAACACATACTTACGTTGTGACACGTATATCCCTTCTCGAGATCTAGCAACCTCAATACCTAGGAAGTACTTAAGTCCCCCTAAATCTTTCATCTCAAACTCAGAAGCCAAGTACCTCTATATCCTTTCAATTTCCTTTGTATCATCACCTGTGACAATCATATCATCGACATATATAATGAGTAAAGTAACTTTACCATCCTTGTGTTTGATGAACAAAGTATGATCTGAGTTCCCTTGTCGGTATCTGCACTTTTTCATAGCCTGAGTGAATCTCCCAAACCATGCTCTAGGCGACTGCTTGAGACCATACAATGCCTTCCGGAGTCTACACACTTTTCCACTGGAGTTTGTAATGCCATATCCTAGTGGAAAATCCTTATAGACCTCTTCCTCTAAATCCCCATGCAAAAATGCATTCTTTATGTCAAATTGTCTTAGAGGCCAATCAAAATTAGCAGTAAGAGACAACAACACTCTAATGGTATTCATTTTTGCAACCGGAGCAAAAGTTTCCTGATAGTCAACACCGAAGGTTTGTGTGTACCCTTTGGCCACTAGTCTCACATTGTACCTATAGATGGTTTCGTCAGCTTTATGTTTGATAGTACACACCCATTTGCATCCAACTGATTTTTTTCCTTTGGGAAGTGTAACCACACTTCATGTATTATTCTTTTGTAACGCCTCCATCTCAATTTGCATTGCCTCTGTCCATTTCGGATCTTTCAAGGCTTCTTCCACTCTAGTAGGTATTTTGATAGTATTCATCCGTTGAACAAGTGCACAATATTTTGGCGAGAGTCGATGAGTGGAGACATAATTTGCAATAGAGTACCGTACCTTCCATTCTGAAGAGTACCTGTCCGGCGGCTTTCCTCGATTCTGTCTGAGAGGTAACATATAAGGTGGTTTAATAATTTCTGAGTGAGTACTTACCTCGAGGTTATCCGGTGGATCATGGGTGGGTACTGGAGGAGTGTGAGAGCGGTTGTCTCTTGGGATGACACTCGGGCATGCAGCAGCAAGCCCATTTAGGCAGATCGCAACGACATTTGGGCAAATGGTAGTGACAAGGGGCCCATATGGGCCCGTGGAACCAGCAGGAGAAAGCTCTGCAGAAAAAGGCCGCCTACGTGGGCTTGTAGCATCAGACGGCCCATCTGCCGCTGTCTTATTATCATCTGGCCTACCAACAACCATCTCAGTCACACCATCATTAACAGGCCCACATGGCTCAACATGTACATGCCCATCTAGGCAGTCATTATGTACTCCTTTGTTTTGGATTTTAGCACGCCCATGCCCATGATTTGGGCCAGCAAATACATCTTCAACATGCCCATTGTTTAGGCTGACAGGTTCATCTTCAACACACTCATTATTTGGGCCGACAGGTACATCAAACCAGCCATAGTCTTCACTTAAGGTTGCCTCCTCCTGAGGAGTAAGGCTGGGAAGAAAAAATAATTCATCTTTAGAGAAGGTAACATCCATGGTGACAAGACATGTCGGGTAGGTGGATGATAGCATCGGTAACCTTTTTGCTGGGGACTAAAGCCAATGAAAACACACCGAATGACACACGGATCAAGTTTGCTTCGTTGGTTTTTGTGAAGATGAACGTAGGCCACACAACCAAAAACTTGTGGTTCTAGATGAAGAGTAGAGGATAAGGAAACATGGTCACCAAGTACGGCCAACGAAGTGCGAAAAAAAAAGAACACGCGATGACATTCGATTCATGAGATATACGGCGTAGGTCACCGCATCAACCCAATAAGTTTTGGGTGTGAAAGCACCAATGAGAAGAGCCCGAGTAATCTCAAGTATGTGTTGATTTTTCCGTTCAGCTACTCCATTTTGCTGTGGGGTCTGAGAACAAGTAGTTTTATGGAGAAGTCCATTTTCTTGGAAGAACTGAGAAAGGTCCTGGTTAATGTATTCACCACCATTATCGGACCGAATGACTTTAATATGAAGCGAGTATTGTGCGTGGACCATATGATAAAACTGTTTGACAATGTCACCCACATCATTCTTATGTTTCATGAGATATAACCAAGTCATTCTGGTGCAGTCATCAACAAACATCATAAACCAACGTACACCATGCTGAGTAGTAACTAGAGACGACCCCCATACATCAGAGTGAACCAACTTAAAAGGAACTGTTCTTTTGTTAAAACTTGGAGGATATGAAGCTCGATGACTTTTAGCTAAAGTGCATACATTACACTTTAGAGAAGAATCTAAAATATTATTGAATAATGACAGGAGCAATTTCCGCAATGCATGACCTAGGCGACGATGCCACAACTGAACAGTCTTCACTTTTCCATTATCATGACTTTGAACATGGTGAACTCGGCTTTAGGCAACATCGTCGACATAGTACAACCCCCTCCTTTTAGTACCACGTCCAATGATCGCCTGAGTCTGGATATCCTGAAGTAAACAGAAAGACGGAAACATTAGCACAACCAAGGAACAAAATGCCGATAATATCGGCGATATATCGCCGATATTATCGGTTTTTCACCGGATCGATATTTTAATAGGTATCCAAAGGATTTTCGTCAAAATATCGCGATATTATATAAAATATCGATAATATCTTAGGAGTCGGTGAGCGCGCCGCAGCTAACGCCGAAAAGCAGCGAAACGATGACGCTCAGGATGTCCTTGGTGCGATCGCGCAGGCTTCTGAGCGGGGCGGAGCCGACTGATTTCGATGACGACGGTGACAAAGCCGGAGGGGGAAGAGGAGGAGGGGAGACGGCGGAGGGAGAAGGAGTAGGAGGAAACGAAGAGGGTTTTGCAGGGCCTTGATGCGGTGGCGGAGATGGCGAAGAGGGAGAAGGTGAGGGGAGCGATGAGGTGGTGTCGCCGTTGATGTGGTGTGGAAGTGAGGGTGTGGGTTGGTTCACGGGGAGAAGGAGAGAGTGCAGATAGAGAGAGAGCACAGGTAGAGATGAGAGAGTGAGGGAAAAGAGAGAACTGAGAGAAAAGAGAGATCGCCTTCGTTGATGTGGTGTGGAAGTGAGGGTGTGGGTTGGTTCACGGGGAGAAGGAGATAGTGCAGAGAGTGCAGAGAGAGAGAGCACGGGTAGAGATGAGAGAGTGAGGGGAAAGAGAGAACTAAGAGAAAAGAGAGACCGGGGACACAAAAGCAAGGTGGGCCCCCTGGGCACACCTATTAAGGTCCAAAAATAATTTTAAAAGTAAGATAAACTCAAACTTAGTGAAAATACAATTTAAATTGGGGGTGGGTGTAACAATCTACCCCTCTTAAAAGAATTTCGTCTCCGAAATTTAAAATCACTTACTAAACTGAAATACTCGAAAATAGGAAGAAGAATATATATATAAAGAGAAATCAAGTCCAAATAATTACATCATATTAAAATTTGATTAATTTTTTTTCAGTTACATATATTATATATGATAAATTTCTATTTTAAATCAAGTCCAAATAATCACATCATATTAAAATTTGATTAATTTCTTTTCAAGTATCTACTTTTGAACTACTCACCACGTTCACTCTATGTGGTACTAAGTCACTAATGTATCTTACCATGCAAAGTATAAAATGTAAAATATTGTACTAATTCATTATATATAAATGATTATGGTGTGTTTAGACTTCTTTCATTAATTACTACATATTTTCTACACTCACATTGTTTGTCAGCTCGCTATATAATCAACTTGATAATGTTAAATCCATCATGCAATGCATTTCTTTCTAATTTTTTGTGATAAACTAATGGATAATTGACTAAATAAACATCCTGCAAAGTTTTAATAAAAATTTCCAAGTTTTTCTTACAATTTCCGTGGTTTCCATGTAATTTTTATCGATATCGATATTATCCCGATATTTCCATCGATATTTCCGTGTTTTCGAACTACCGATATTTCCGATATTACCGATATTTAATACCTTGAGCACAACACAGTCCAATTGTTCGGTTACTTGCCCCACAGATAATAAGTAGCTAGAAAGTATGGGAACAAGTAAGCAGTTATGTAACGAGAGGGTAGAAGTGAGTGATACGGAACCCGCCCCTGTAATTGGGTGGGGCAACACCTCCGTTGGCAGTAAAAATATTATCTCGTGGTGGTGGTGTCATAGAGTCAAAAAGACTACGATCGTAAGTCATATGATCAGTGGCTCCTGAATCAATAATTCAACCAGTATCATGATCAATCGATGAAATTGAAGCTATGCTTGTGTTACCGAGGTTGTCGGATTTCTCGCTTGAAGCAATTAAATTTAAGAGAGAAAACTGTTGTTCCAGATTTTCTGGAGATGTCTTCACTGGGTGTCCCCGCTGGTGGGCCAGGCAAGCCGGTTCCATCCCTGCTGCTGACGCCAGCATCTGCTGGTTGGGTGGGATTGTTTTGGGCTTCAAAACTAATCAGTCCACTCTCTGATTTTACTCCATTAGGCGCAACAGACCTCTTGTCAAACTTGATGGGGACCATTGCTTGGCTATTTGCCGTAGTTGCAGCACGTTGTGGTTTGGGATTTTCAAAGGAAGGTCTAGTTTCTTGTTTCGAGACTTGGGTGTGGGTATTTAACAGAAGTCTCTTGCTTCGAGACTTTTGGTACAATTCCAAGCGGCTGATAAGCAACCAACCGAGAAGAAATCAAGTCGTCAGTGAGCAAGATTAGGATTTAGAGAAAGAGACCGGTCGAAACCTGCTCTGATGTCAGGATAAAATTAAACTATGAGATTTTGGGATTAATCGTTCATTCTATTCTTCTCCATCAAGGAGGCAATATATATCAAACATATATTCTGATACAAGGAACATTAAAGGAATCCTAACTAAATTAAGAAACACAATTATATTCCTAATCACAAACATTCTCCTAATTAATAGGGTTGACTCACGCCAACATCTTATACGTACCGTCCGATAACAGTGGTAAGAAGAACATGTAAAGTTTGAGTTTGATTAGTCATGAAACTGCTAGCTTAAGACCATCCGATAACAATGGTAAGAACATAAACCAGCAGCAGTGATATGGGGTACAGAATGTATGCTAGAATGCTTGTCCAAAATGGGAACTTTCTGCTGAAGCTTGCAGAAAGACCAACCGCTATCGAAATAATTAAAACAACTAAAACTTCAGCAGCGACATCCCATGATAAATTGCGTATGTAAACAAGAGCCAAAAATATGATCAACCCCACAATATTGTTCATGAATGCCGCGTTGTAAATCTGCAGAGAACAGTTCAAATGTCAGATGATATTGATCTTATGGAGTTGCAGTGCTGTGTTTATGGAAAGTATTAGGGACGGACTTTTGGAGTATAAATCAGGGAGAAATAAGTGTATGACATCATTAGACGCTTAAGTGTGTGAAGTAGTTAAAACAATATATTTGAGTTTATGAAACAGACCTCAGAAAGTGTTAAAGAGATGGCATTCTCCGTCTTGTCTTTGGCAGACAATACAGACATTAGTGCCAGTCTGTAATTTGTAGCCAAGGGTATCACAACATACGAGGCCATGAAAGAAGGGATGCTTGCAGCGGTGGAAAACTCTTGGAGACTTACCATGAGGGGCATTGAAAGAAAAACTGTTATGGCAGTTCCTAGAATAATTAGAAAAGCAGCCTTCAGGAGATTCATCCATGATGTATCAGCACCCCTAGTCTTCTTTTTCTTAACGATCAGCGGTATCTGCTGATCTTCCATAGATGTCTCATTCTGCAAGTGCAGTTTAATGACCCGGATGAAACTCTTGTTTTTCTAAGCATTCAAATATAGTCCTATCAGGCAAATGCGGGCGTAAGAGCAGGTGTGCTCATCCCTTATGCAGGTAATTTCAAGTCCCTCTTCCCGATGTTTACATTAGTTAAAGTAAAATATTGCTTGTGTAAAAAAAAAAATACTTACAGTCCTACCGGGGCTGAATTTATACCTTGGCAGGGGTCTTATCTGGATTAATCCATTTAGAGATTCCATTCACAAACTCCGTCTCAGTTATTTGAGCGTCGCCAGAGAGATCAAATTGCTTCATCACTTCTTCTGCATAATCATCATCATCCAGACCTATTTCTTCTATTTGTATTCCTAGGATCAATGCTTTAAGTTCATCTGCTGATATGTATGTGTTATGATTCTTGTCTACTCTATGGAACAGCCTGAAAATAAATTTAGAAAACGACTAAATGATGAGATCATGGCATTTCAGCGATTCAGGTGGAGTGAACTAAAAACAGAAACCGGGTACTTACTCTTTTATACTGGATTCATTAGCATTTCCGTCTACTGTCAGAAGACTCGGCAGTATCTTCCGTATGTATTTAAGCATCAAATATTCAAGCCTTCTGCTCTGAATCCATGGTTGAAAGAACTGCATAATTGTTTTCTATCAGTTAAGAAGTTCACGGATGCAACATTTCTAACTTTTGTACTTTGTTCATCGTTGCTTAAACAATCAAAAGTCTTTCTCGGATTCTTATTATTTCAGTATGTTAATTATTTCATCTTTCATACACAATAAGTCAAATTTTACTATCATCTAAGTATCGCTGAGGCAGATTTTATATTCTTGAAGTTGTGTTACCTGGTAGATGATGTAAGTGGCAAGGATTGCAGATGCAATCAGTAGAGAAATTAAGATCACAACTCGAACTGCTGTGGTTGAAGTCAAGATTTTTGCCAGTTGAAGAAAGAGATATGGGATCGAGGAGAGCATCATGATTCTTGCAGTATCTCGGGTTTCGACATCAGTTCTTACACCAGAACCTGCACAACCATGTTTACTTACACATTAAGTTATCATATTTTAGACCTCTCTCTCTCAGTGAGTGTTGATTAGTTTGTGGAGATCAGAGAAGAAGAAGTAAACCAGTTAAACTGAAGGGGTTCTTGTTTTCTGAATTTGATGAAGTTTGAGAATCCGAGAGGTCGGAGCTACCGAAGGCAACAACAGAACCCCATATTAGGGTAAGAATCATGATTGTTGATCCTGCAAGCATGCTCATGTTCATTTTTGCCATTTCCTCCGCAGTTTCTGTAGTTGCTGTAATTCCAGTTACTGAGGAACAAAATGTGAATTGTCGTCATGAATTTACAAGACATAATACATGTCAAATGTATTACTTTGATTTAAAAGTTAAAACCAAAACTTCTGAACTTTTCTCCAAATAGTCAAGCAATTACTATACAAGTCAAAATCATTTAAAACTAAGGAAAACTAATGAAAATGACTTGAAAACTTTGAATTTTAATCAAAATAACAAAAATGTGTTGTAAATGAATAGTATCAGGAGTGACTTTTTAGAGTAAAAATGTCTTTTTCGTTAAAAGTGAATAGTACCGGGAGTGTTTAGCTAAAACTCTCTTTAAACTATGCAAGTGGCTTTTTACCACAGTGGTGAAAATGAGTTAAGCTCTTGCATGACGGCGTGAGTTTGAATTCAATCGATGGCTAATCTAATATCTAATCTAACAAAATATATCATATGAGATAAAAAAATCATTTAAACTATGAATCTCTAATCTAATCTAATCTAATCTAATCTAATACTCATTCACACTCTTAACAAGCTCGTCATGTTAAATATATTGAGGTGAGCAACTGAGCCACAAAATTAAACACGTGAGTTGTTGAGATCAACGATTCAACACATGAGTATAGTCTATTCTGATACCATATGTATATATATAGAGGTGAGCAACTGAGCCACAAAATAGAGACCCAAGATAATTAAACTTTTATGTAAAACTTTAATTCCTCGAAGTTAGATTCCTCCCAATATACAAGATTATGGTCTGTTAAATTGTAATCTTGTCTTGGTCCAAGACAATTGATCCGACCCATACACAAAGAAAGATCCATGCACATGCTAAAGAGTTCTAGCAAAGTTCAAGTTGGTGGAATGCATGCATAAATATCTAAGGCTTTTTGTAGAAAGCTCTAGAATCTTGTAAAAATGTGTGGTTGTTAAGCATTAGCTAGAAAGTTCTAGCAATGCCAAAAAGTTGGCAAACCTTGCCTATAAATAGGTGAGGTGCTAAGCAATGTGATGTAATAACTAAGAGAGCAAGTAGTGAGAAGTGAGAGTGCCAAGTGAAAAGTGAGAAGAAGCAACAAAGCTTCTAAGAGTGTTTGAGTGTTTCCTCTTTACTAAGTTTGTGAGTGAATAAAAATCTTGTGTAACACTTTGAGTATTCTTTCTTTCTCATGCCTATCAATTTCACTGCATTACATTCTTCTTTGTGAGATAAACATTTCCAAAGTAGTGAAGTCTTTTTAAGCCCCAACAAAGTGGTACCAGAGTTATGGCTAGCAATGCTATGTCAGCCTTCCAAGTTCCAGTACTCGACAAGAACAACTTCAATAATTGGAGTATCGAAATAAAGGCCCTTTTGGGATCACATGATGTCTAGGAAGTCGTGGAGAAAGGCTACACAGAGCTAGAAGATGAAGCTACTCTAACCCAAGCCCAGAAGGAGAGTTTGACAGATTAAAGAAAGAGAGACAAGAAGGTTCTCTACCTTATCTACCAAGCATTAGATGACAATGGCTTTGAGAAGGTCTCGAGTGCAACCTTCGCCAAGCAAGCATGAGAGAAGCTTCAAACCTCTTGCAAAGGAGCCGAACAAGTGAAAAAGGTTCGTCTTTAAGTATTAAGAGGTGAGTTCGAATCTCTACAAATGAAAGGGTCTAAATCAATCTCCAATTATTTCTCAAGAGTCTTAGATGTTTCCAATCAATTAAAAAGAAACGGAGAAAATTTAGAAGATGTTAGAATTACGGAGAAGATACTACGCTCGTTGGACCCCAAATTTGAGCACATTGTCGTGACAATTGAAGAAACCAAAAACTTAGAAGAAATTAATATAGAGCAATTGATGGGTTCGCTACAAGCATATGAAGAGAAACATAAGAAGAGGCAAGGGAATGATGAGCTGCTCATCAAGACGCATGTTCAGCCAAAGAAGAAAGAAGAAAGCTTCGACAACAAAAGAAGCCAATACGAAAAAAGTCGTGGTCGAGGTTGCAGACGTGGGCGTGGACGTGGACGTGGTTGGAACTTCAACAACCATAGTAACTATAAAAGAGGAGAAATCTCAACAAAAGGTCGTGGAAGAGGACGCTCAAACTTGAGGTATGAAAAATCTCAAGTTCAATGCTATAATTGTCAAAAGTTCGGGTATTATGCTTGGGAATGTAGAGCTCCAAACAGCAGACCTGATGAAAAGGTCAACTATGTGAAAGAAGAGAAAGAAGAGAATGACATTGTGCAACTAATATGCAAGAACAATAATCGAGACCAAGACTATACATGGTACCTTGACACAGGTGCCAGCAACCACATGTGTAGAAGAAGAGGCATGTTCGTAGAGCTCAATGAATCAGTTAGTGGCAACGTTTCTTTTGGAGACGAATCCAAAATACCCGTCAAAGGAAAAGGTAACATCCTAATTCCCCTGAAAAATGGCGGTCACCAATTAATTTCAAATGTCTACTACGTGCCCAATATGAAAAGCAACAAATTGAGTTTAGGTTAACTCTTAGAAAAAGGTTATGATATTTACATGAAAAATTATAGCCTTTTTCTTAGAGATGATAAAGGAAGATTAATTGCCAAGGTGAAAATGTCAAAGAATACGATGTTTCCTATGAAAATTCAAAACGATGTTGCAAAGTGTCTCAAGACATGTTACAAAGACATATCATGGCTTTGGCATCTTCATTTTGGGCATCTTAACTTTGGGGGATTGAAGTTATTATCTAAGAATGAGATGGTGAGAAGCTTACCATGCATCAGTCACCCTGATCAAGTTTGTGAATGGTGTTTACTTGGGAAACAGTTCATGATTCTAAATGAGTCGATCACAAGAGCCCAGAAGCCACTTGAGCTTATTCACACCGATGTGTGCGGTCTAATAAAACCAAGCTCTGTCGGTAAAAATAATTATTTCCTTCTCTTCATTGATGATTTTTCAAGGAAAACTTGGGTATATTTCTTGAAGCAGAAATCAGAGGCCTTTGGAGCATTCAAGAAGTTTAAAGCCGCTATAGAAAAAGAAAATGGTTGCAAGATCAAAGCCATGAGATTTGATCGAGGAAGAGAATCCACTTCAAAGGAATTTCAAGAATTATGTGAAGCTAATGGAATTCGTCGACCTTTGATAGTTCCAAGATCCCCTCAACAAAATGGTATGGTGGAAAGAAAAAATCGAACCATCCTCAACATGGCTCGAAGCATGCTCAAAAGTAAAATATTGCCTAAGAAGTTGTGGGCAGAAGCTGTAGCATGTGCTGTTTACCTATCCAATTGGTCACCAATAAGAATTGTGTGGGGAAAAACTCCGCAAGAAGCATGGAGTGGAAGAAAGCTAGGTATCTCTCATCTAAGAGTTTTTGGAAGCATAGCCCATGTACATGTACCAGACGAGAGGAAAACCAAACTCGACGACAAAAGTGAGAAGTTTATCTTCATCAGATATGATTCAAATTCAAAAGGCTATAAGTTGTATAATCCGAACAATGGGAAGACGGTGATCAGTCGAGACGTGACGTTCAACGAAGAAAAAGAATGGGATTTTGGCTCGCATGTAGGTGATCTTCAATTCTTTCCTCAAATTGAAGAAGATAATGAACAAGGGATAATGGAGCAAGCAAGAGAGGTTCAACAAGAATCCACTACTTCACCTGCTTCACCAATATTAACCAATCATGGCAATTCACCAGCATCAGCATCGTCAAGTGGGAGTCTAAATGAAAAAGAAGTACCATGCACAAGAAGTATACGAGATCTCTATGAGGTAGCTGAAAGACTTGATAATCTTACACTTTTCTATTTCTTTGTTGATTGTGAACCGGTCGACTTCCAAGAAGCAATGCAAGATGCTAAGTGGAGGAAAGTAATGAATGAAGAAATCGAAGCAATCCAAAAAAATGATATATGGGAACTCATTATTCTTTCGAAATGACATAAAGCCATCGAAGTCAAGTGGGTGTACAAGACAAAGAAAAATGTCAACGAAGAGGTAGAAAGATACAAGGCGAGACTAGTGGCGAAAGGCTATAGTCAAAGAGCTAGAATCGACTATGATGAGGTATTTACCCCTGTAGCTCGGTTGGAAACTATACAATTACTAATTTCTTTGGTAGCTCAAAACAAATGGATATGAAGTCCGCTTTCCTAAATGGAGTCCTTGAAGAAGAAGTCTACATTCAGTAAACCGTTAGGCTAAGAAATCTGTTGATGCACAAAACCGGAGGGGTCTTGGAACAACGTAAATCCGACCGTGAATCTGCAAGAAATGTAAATATCATAAGATGTATCGTGGTTCACCCCAATGTTTGGGCTACGTCCACACTGATTGTATTTCTCTAACTGTATGTATGGATTACAAGAGTGAGAGGGAGTCCCCCAGAGAAAGGGAGAGTTTGAGAGGGCTCTCTGTTTTGTGAGCATGAGAGCTTGAGAAAGATGAGCTTTGTGAGGGTGAGAGGGCTTCCCCTAATTATAAGGGTGAGGAGTTCCTTTTATAGAATAAAGACTCCTCACTTATTACATATTTGCCCCTTCCTTTATTACATAATTACATTTGAGTCCCCCGAGTATTTATACGAGGTCTAAATACGGATGCCCTAAGTATGGGACAAACAGTAGTCCCCCAAGGGTTCAGTCAAGAGAGTCTTTTGGCTGGAGACTTGAAATTCAGTTTATATGTAGGCCGAAGTAACTAGATGTCGTCTTGAACTGATACTCGATATGAGGCGATGCTCAATCTGAAATGATGCTCAACTAGAAGTAGCACATGTTGCGAGGTTGCTCTGCTTGTGGCTTATGTTGCCTTGGTTGGCTCGGTTTGAGGCGTTGAAGGTGAGGGAGTCCCTTTTATAGAATAAGGATTTGCTCCTCAATACATAAATGATGGGCTAGAGTTGTTGCTTGCGGCGAGGCGGTTACTCAGCTGGTGGCGATGCTCTCTAATGATGGTGAATGAGTCCCTTTTATAGAATAAGGGTTCGCTCTTCAATACATAAGTGATGAGCTAGGAGTGATGCTCGCGGCG